AAAGTAGGTACCCACAGCTGTAGGTATCAGCACAAGAGGCACCACTCTTTTAGCTGCTGAGCTTTCTCATATGCTCCTACTGCTGAGCACCTGCTGCTCAGAGTGGCCCTCTGATGCTTGATTATTGTGCTCTTGCTCCCTCATGAAACACTGGGAGAGCCCTGCCTGGTGGGCTGGAGCGTGGGAGCTGTTCTGTGCCTAACTTTGGGAAGGGACTGGAGTGTTCTGTGCATCGAATAAAGAATAGACAAATCACAGCTGGTGTAGGACAGAAGCCAAAACTGTACAGGTAGCTGATGCTACTCAGGTACATAACAGCAAATAAAAGGTTTTGGCCTTTAGTGAATGGGCAGGGCAGAGGAGTAGGGGAAAGGAGTGAGACTGTGTAAGCTTACTCACATGCTTACTCACCGTAAGTATGTGGTCACATGAACAGTTCAGCTGAATGGTTGTCAGTATGTAGGAAGTGTTTCTTATTTTTTTTTTTTCTTTTTTTTTTTTACCCCCACAGAAATAAAGCCAGGAAAGGGGTTTGTTTTGAGGTCAGAGTAGCTGAACTTGTTTCTTCTCGGCCACTACTGTGGTATTTTGTCAGCATGTGCAGGGCTGCCCAGAGGTTATGATTTCCACATGGAGAGGTACTCAGGAAGGAATTTATGGTATAGGAGAGCACAGTATAATTTATGGTGTAGGAGAGGTATTTGGAGAGCAGTGCCCAGTTTAAAGTAAGTTCTCTGTGAGATGCAGTAGTCTGTAATATTTTACTACTGTGCAGTGTGACCAGAAGCAGTTTGGGCAGTGCAGTTAGTCTGGTGAGGCCATTCACATTGGTATTGTTTCACAGCACCTCAGAAGCCCCAAATTCAACATGTGGCTTTTGCTCAGCATTTCTCAGATTGTCATCTGAAATAGGCTAGAAGAGAGGAGGGTTTATGGCTGTGCAGAAGACTGAAATAGAGGATTTACTGAGATCTGTGCATGCAGATACAGTAGTGGCAGATCAGGGTCTTCTGCTAGGATGAGTTAACACATTGGTTCTCAGATGGGGACAAAATAGGATGGAGGATGTCCTGCTTATTGTGGAGCTGAGACTGTCCCTAGCAGAGAGCTGTGGCCACATAGACTGGTGCAATCTCCTCCCTCATAGCACTAGCACACCAAAAAAATCATCTCCACTGGTGCTGCAGGAGGCAGACAGACATTTGGCAGCATGGCCTGTCACTCCTGGAGATGCCAGGGTTACATCCTGAAGTGGGTTTCATCTGAACTGTATGTCAGTGTGTGCAGTTTGTTTGTGAGACAGCTGGAAATACTACTTTGTTCCTTGAATGTTCTTGTTCTTGGGATTGTAGTTAAACAGATTGGTTTAAAAAAAGCCTTAAAACAGAGTTCATGGCAGCCATCACTATGGAAGTACAGTGTTCCTACTCTAGCTTTAAACCTGTGTGAATCTCAGCTCTGTCCCCTAATATTTGATTTTATTTGGAATTCTGGCAACGAATTGGGTTTCTAGACAACTGCAGCTATTTGTTTCAATACTGTCAATCCATTATGGAAGCACATGGAGCTGTTTTCCCATCTCAGCGATGCCAGGTGATTGCTGGGATGGTTAGGTGGTGCTGCTGGTTGTTAGTCCCTTAGAACCAGGCATTTGGAATTCTCTAGGAAGAAGGCTCAGGGCACCCAGCACACCTGATGTCTGCTTGTCTGTCTGTTTCAGGGTTGTGTCCGAGACAAAAGCTGTCACGTTTACACGTCCCAGGAAGTACATTGCCTCGTCGGGGTCGGAGCCTCCGGAGCTGGGATACGTCGACATTCGCACCTTGGCTGACAGTGTGTGTCGCTACGATCTCAATGATGTGGACGTGGCATGGCTGCAGCTTGCCAATGAAGAATTCAAAGAAATGGGTGAGCACAGATGCTTTCATAATTGTTGCATTGTATCTGCTTAGACCTGGTCAGAATCTGGCGACGTGTTGGTTTGTTTTCTCTGCTGCTTTCCATTTCACAAGGGAATTCTCTCAAAGTTCCCAGTTTGCCATCCTGGTTCTCAAGGAGAACATCGGATAGACCCTTCAGGTAGTTTTTCCAGTTAGTCCTCTTTATTCTCTTCATCACAAATTATATCATCTTTTTAGCTGGTGGTGTTGAGTGCAAGGAAGGTAGATGAGGAGTCTTGGAATGTTTAGAGAACCTGCGCCAGCTGAACGGCACAGGGAATGAGACAGTAAGGAATTCCCACAGTGATTTATTGGAGGAAGCTCCCAAACCTCACTGTGACTGTGTGCTCTAGTTCCAAATCAGGAGGAGGAGCTGTCACCAGGGAGCAGCTGTTCCCTTTCCTGCAGAATGGGTTGTGTGTGGGAAAGGACAGGGGAGCAGGGCGAGGACAGGAGCAGTTCTTTGGTAAGGTGTGTGCTCCAGGAGAGGGTTTCAGTGGAACTGAGTGGACTGTAAGTAAGCACAGAACTTTTGCCACATTGTTTGGATAAGGGAAAAGCTGCTGTGCCGGGTGGAAGAGGTTTGGGCGTGTTGGTGACCACGGTTGGGTTTTGTTTTGGCACTGTGGCAGTTCCCTGCTTTGGGTGACAGTTTAGTCAAACAGGTTATACCTGGCTATAGCCTGTCCATGGCATGGCTGAAGACCTGGTGTACCACAGAGCGACCATTTATAACTCAGTTTCTTCTTTTTAAACCCACACATGAAAGAAACATGACCCAGCCTTAGCCTGGTCTCTTACCTAAGCCTGTTTTCCAGATCTCAAGTCAGGCCTGCTCAGGTTTAATGTTGGGCCTAGAGGATTTCTGTTCACCATTCTAGTTTAGTGTACCTTTCCAGCTACCTTGGGGAAGTCAGCAGCAGCAAGGTCCCTTAGCTTTCCTCAAAGAATAATTCAACACACTTTTTATGACTTGTAATTGGTATCCATTTATCCAGTGTAGGTAATGCCCCGTGTCTGTGTCTTCTGCCAAACCCAGAGGAAGGCAGTGTGACACTGGTGTGAGCAGCACAGGAGGGGCTCTTTGTCTTGCAGGTTTGTACCTCTGCAGGAAGCCTTGTGGTAGCCAATCTGCTACGCCAGCATAACCTTTAAAAGAACACGGTGCACATGACACACCGAACAGCTAGAATTTGTCAGATCTTGTGCTTTGCTGTAGTTTCTTGTAGTTTATTTGCTCTAAATCACTGCCCTTGGTTTTGCTGTATGCAGAGGGAAGGAAATGTCCCAGTGTCAGTTCCAGGAGGTCTTGAAACATGTGCCTGGGTGCTCAGTCAGGCACTGCACCCTACAGATACTGTGCATGGGCGTTTGAACAGTGAAAAATTTCCCAATCTGCAGTTGGAGCACTTCCTTATGGTGTCCCTGCAGCTATGAATTCCCTGTGCTGTCTTTGATACCTGTTGGAGTGCTTCAGGTACTGAAAACCCATGTTCTGTCTTCAAAAGAACGTCTGTAAACATTTGAACTGGAGCTGCAGCCCCTTGACTCCCTTTTTCTAACCCTGACAAATACACAGTCAGGCACATGTCTCTAAGGGTTACTCACAAAGTGATAGCAATCCTGAGGTTAGAATCCAGTTGCAAACTGGTGTAAAACCTGCTATCATCTGCTTTGCCATGCTGTAGTTCTGGGCTGCAGGGCAAAACGGACGCTCTTTCATCAGCAGCATTTTGGATGTTCCTTCTTGCTACCTTTCAGCTGCTCAGTTTGGGCAGTATGGGATGCATTGATCTCTGCCCCAAGGATTTCTCTGTCAGTAAGGGAAGCTGGAAGTACTTTTGTCAAGTGTTTGTCTTCTGATCTGGGGGAGCCTGGAGAGATTCTTTTATTCTTTGTTTTGTAGAATTTGTGACTCAGTTTCTCACAGGGAGAGCTGAAAGGAGGATTTTCTAGTTAAAACACCATCGTGGGGTTGCCATGTTCTTTACGTCACAATGAACACTAGGTATTGGGAGTTAGGGAAAAAGCAGGATATCCTAAGCCTACACTTCATTGTAGTGATTTAAATATATGGAAATTCTTGTGCTAAACTGACCTTGCAAAAGGAAGAGGATTGTTTGCAGTGGCAGAGTTTGCTTGGTTTCACAGGTGTTTGTGTGCCGTGATTTTGTGGGAAACGTTGGTCTAGTACCAACCTGGAAGCATTACAGACATCTTGTCATGGCAAATGAGACATGGAAGCCAGAGGGGGAAGCACCTTGCTCTTTTTGGATATTTTTCTTGCTGCTTCTGTGATAGATATTTTTTTCAGGTCTGTAGGAATCATTTAATCTAATGAACAAATTTGAATTGCAGACTACCGAAACAAACCAACAACTGTTGTTAGGAACTGCAAGTTTGCTCCATGTATCATAGCAGATTTTTTCATTGATTTCCTCCCCCTGCTCCATATCTTTTGGTTCAAAATACTTTCAGAGAGTCAACATCTGGGTGGCAAAATTGGAGCAAAAGCCATAGATAGTGCTGTCCCAGAAGGAAAAATGAGAACAAGGCCTTGAAGCCAAAGTCAGTTTACAAGTTTTTCTCAGAATTTTGAAGGATTTGGGTACTCTGCTCTGTTGGTTTAATACAGTTATAAGACAACTTTGACTTTTTTTCCAGTTTCCCTAGTTGTCTAGGAGTGACATGTACCTGTGGGGGTTGGATGCATCTACTCTTGCTGTTAAAAACAGCGGTGGAGCTGTGTGTGGTGATGGTTTTCACTCTGTTCTTTAACTAAGTTAACAACTCCTGTTTCCCAGGGATGCCTGAGCTGGATGAGTACACAATGGAAAGGGTCATGGAGGAGTTTGAACAACGCTGCTATGATAACATGAACCACGCGATCGAGACGGAAGAAGGACTCGGGATTGAGTACGATGAAGATGTTGTCTGTGATGTGTGTCAGTCCCCGGATGGAGAAGATGGCAATGAAATGGTCTTCTGTGACAAATGCAACATTTGTGTGCACCAGGTATGGCAGCCAGGGCACAATACAGGGTGTGGGGTCGTGACACAAGCTTTCCCAAACCACTGAAGATAACAGATTGGATTTTTTCTAGTGACAGACATCGATCTGCTAAGTTGTTGCAGAGTTCCCCGTGGAGCATTGAGATGAACTCAGAAATTATGTGGTTGAGAAGGAGTAATTCCAGAAATGTTATGCTCAGAGGGTTAAAAGTGGTGCTCTGTGTGTGTGTGTAGGAAGCCGTAAGGTGAGGAATTGCCTCCCCAAAACATACACATGTGCACTGTTGTCCATTGTCACCTGGCCATGTCTTCTGCTGAATTTTTCCCCCTTGTACATGCTTGTGGGGATAACAAATCTTCAATACAACAGCTTATGCTCAGCAGGGAGGGGGGAAAAAGGCAATCAGTAGGGACACAGGTAGAATTTCTTATAGATAATTTAACAGAGAACCTGTTGAGCTGAGCTATAAGGAAGCACTTTTATGTGCCACCTCTGTGTGAAGTTTTCTTAAAACTAAGCAGTGGTCTTAGCATGAAAGAAGAGATAGAGTTTTAGCATATCTGTTTCTGTGGATGCTCCTTACTGTGGCAGATGCCTTCCTGTCAGCCTGTCCTTCCTTCCCAGCTTTAAGAAGTTTGCGTTGTCATTTAGTGTTGGAAAACTGTGTTGTCTGGTGAGCAGGAAACACATTTTCTCACGTTATTTAAATGCATTTGCACTACTGATAAAGAATGAGACCTAGGACAGCTGTAAGGTACAAATGGCTATCCACAAGGCACACAGAATGAAGTGGATGTTTTCAAACCTGTAGTGGTTCTCTGATCACATCAAACTTAAGTGTGTTAGAACTGACAGGAATTTGGACAGATCTCCATAAATATGCAAATCTCCTGAGAAACGTTCTCTTAATTAGCTGCTGTTCTGCACTTTTCCCTCTGAACAAAATCATTCTGAGAGTTGTGAGAGGCTGTGTGTAAGCAGCTAGAGAGTAACAGAAGTGCATGTTGTTTCCTTTGTGTGCTGTCCGTGGGAACACAGGCCTGCTACGGGATCCTGAAGGTGCCTGAGGGCAGCTGGCTCTGCAGGACCTGCGCGCTGGGCGTGCAGCCCAAGTGCCTGCTGTGTCCCAAGAAGGGAGGAGCCATGAAGCCCACCCGGAGCGGCACCAAGTGGGTGCACGTCAGCTGTGCCCTGTGGATTCCAGAGGTGGGTCTGATCCACTGGGAGTTCAGGGCTGTGGTGGTTCTGGGAGAGAAGAAACTTGCTAGAAACATTGTTCAGCCCTAGCGTGTGTTGCTACAGTGGTGGTACCTAGGGGAGGCAGCATTGGAGATTGTTGGTTAGATATGACGTCTGGGGGGATGATGCTTCATCTGTAAAGAAAGTAATGAAATTCCCTCTATCAACCAAAATGAGGCCTTTGCTGCTGGCAAAGCTCATTAACCAGGACACGAGGTATGGTTTCATTCTGTAAAGGGAACATTAAAGGTGAATCAGGAGGGTTTGGCTGTGATAGGGAGAATTCCTGTGGGTTCTCATAATCAGTGTTCATCCTGTATGATAATCTTAACTTCTTGGGCTTCACCTTGAAACTGTTTTGGTCATGAAGTGAGGAACTGATTTTTTTAGAACCTATAAACTGAGGAATTCAGAACACAATCATTTTGCATATACACACAAGAAATTTGATTTCTTTGATAGAATTGTTTCTCTTTTCACTTAACAGTGTCAGTCACTCCATTTTTCGACCTTTATTCTCTTAGGTGAGCATTGGAAGCCCAGAAAAAATGGAGCCCATCACAAAGGTTTCCCACATTCCCAGCAGTAGGTGGGCACTGGTGTGCAGCCTCTGTAATGAGAAAGTTGGAGCTTCTATACAGGTAATTTGATCACACAAATATCCACGTGCTTTGTTTTGTCAGTTTTAGTAGATAACAAAATGTGTTCCAGATTGGTACTATGGACTTAACTGCACACTGAGGGTTTTTGAGTGTTAATGTGCTCTTACTTTCTAGTAAAGTTTTAGTAATAATAGTCAGGGTATCCCTTGAGACTTCTATTTGTTGATAAACTGATACATTCATTACCAGACTGAAGTAAAACTGTTGCTGAGGAAAAAAAAAGTATTTCTGTGATGCACCACATAGGGAACTGAAGCTGGAATGCTGAAACTATCTGCTAGTCCCTGTTCAGTGACTCCTAACTGTCCAGCTTTACAGGCAAGTTTCAGAGATGTTTCAATGGGAGTTACATATCTCCTGTTACAGCCTGAGCTTTGAAGGTGCTGAGCCTGCCCAGCTCCTGCTGCAGTCGGTGGCAGTGCACACCTCCACTGTGATGGTCAAGCTGCTTGGAGCTTTGCAGTTCTCGTTTTAGCTACTACTTAACATTGGGCTGTTTGGCTGTAGCTGTGTTTTAAACTGTTTTATTGTGGGCTCAGCTTCTAAGTTGCTGAAGGGAACATCTGATAATTTAATATTAAGCTTTTTGAGCAGCGGGAAGTAAACAGATGGTTTGACTGCCCTGGGGTTTGAGCAAACCACAAGCTGAGGAAATGAACCCCCTTTCCTCTCCTGGTTGGGGTAGATTCTGGAGCTCTTGGTGTTTCCTGTGAGGAAAAAAACCCTCCTGGGTGGGAGTTTCCCAGTTTCCACTTCTGCAGAAGCAGTGCCATGTTACCATTCTGATCCTTGAGCTCAGGGATGATGACTGCCCCAACCAGCGAGATGGGCAAGAACTAAGCAATGCCTGGTTTCCATAGTTCCAAAGAGAGTGATTTCCATATGCAAAATATAATGAACTCTAAAGCCAGTGCCATAAAGCCATTTGCTTAATGCCAGCAACTCACATTCCTGGGCCAGTGCCAGTTTGTCTCATGGCACAGCTCTGAAATTCTCTCTGCAGTTCCAGTCGGATTTGGATTCAGTGTTTCTGACCATAGTCCATGCATTGTCACTGTTAAAAAACTGACCCGATCTGCACCAGAGCATTTCAGACTGGGCAGTGTTGTTTCATGGGCGTGTTTATATTGGGGTGTAAGCTGTAAAGCACCTGTAGAACCTTTTACTGTGGAAAATCACTCAGAAATGTTAAATAGTCCTTTTAAGAACAATCTTGTAATCTAGAGAGATTGAGAAAACACATTACCAAGCCTCAGATTCCTGAAAGAGGAGATATTCGGTTTTCTGAGGCAGCAGACAAAACTTTGCTTGAGAACAAATGATGAGGGAGCATAAGGACAGGTGACCCATTTGGGGCAGTGTTGTGATTGTGTAGAAAAAGACAGTAAGATGTAGCTTAGTGTTGTGGTGATGCTTCTCACCCTCAAACCGCTCGAAATACTTCAGCAAAATGATCCTCAGGAAGCTCTGAGGGAGACAGGGTAATATTACAGCCTCATAAGGAGGCTGAAGTAAAGCTCTTTCCTTTTTGGGGCTAGCCTGATGTTACAGGACCATGATGGTCAGACCAGAATTAAAACACAAAAATTGCTCAATTAAGTCCTACACTACTTTGAAATTAGTTTATATCCATTTCCTTTTTTTTTCCCCCTCTGCTCCAAGTCATTTTATGGGATTGCCAGGAAGAGCTGTAAGCCAGCAAGACAGCAGTAGTTCCAGTGAAACCCGTCAGTTTGCTTCCATGTAAGGAATGTATCAGAGAGTAAATGTTAAGTAGAGAAAATAAATCTGTCCACAGCATATAAATTTGCAGCCGTAATACCTCCTCGCAGAGCTGTCCCTTCCTCTTGGCCACTGTTATGTAGTTGGAACTGTTCTGTCCGTTCTCCAGAGCATGTTCCACGGTGTGCACAATTAGCAAAGCAGCAGCTGGAGGTGTCAGGCTGCAGAGAGCAGCTGCAGCAAGCTGGGAGAA